AGATTTGGTACCAACCAATTCCAGAAAAAGGGAACTGTTGCACCAAAGAGCTTCAAAAATTATTGTAGTTGGCTGATAGCAATAGCACTTAGACTTATATACTGCTTCACAGCGCTTTACAGCTCTCTCTAAGTGTTTTGCAGAATCAGCACATTGTCCCCAACAATCTGGATCCTCATTTTATTAACTTCGGAAGGATGGAAGAATGGAAGGATTGAAGGCTGACTCGGATGGAAGGCCGAGTCAACCTTGAGCCGGTGAGAATCAAACTGCTGAACTGCTGGCAGCCGGCAGAAATATCCTACAATTCTTGACAGTGAGAACAATTAAGCAATGGAACATCTTGCCACCTAGAGTTGTGGGTGCACCATTGCTGGAGGTTTTCAAGAAAGGATTGGACAACCATTTATCCAGGAGGACATAAGGTCTCCTGCCATGGGCAGGGGTTGGACTCGAAGACCTTCAAGGTCCTTTCCACTCCTATGAGAAGTTCTACTTCAGAACTTTTGCCTCTGTTTTAAGTAGAAGAAATTTAAACTATAGTTTGGCAGATCCATCACAAATGGGCATCCTCTTCAAGTCCTAGAACAATAATGGTGAATCTTTTTTCCTTAGTGTGACAAAAATTCAGAAAATGCCTAATTTGATTCTGCTGGTGTGTCACATGCTCTGAACAAAACAAATTTTTTTTACATATTCATTAATTTTTTAAAAATACAGTCCAATTATGTGGGTGATCTGCCATGTGCCATTTATCTTCAGGCTGATGGCAGCGGGGTGGGGGTGGGGCGCTCTCATTAATGTTTTCAGTAACTAGAAGTTTTTTTCCCAGTTATTTTCAGTAACTAGAATGTTTTTATTTCTTGAAGTAAAAAAGCAAGCTATGAATGAGGTATGAATAGACTCATATGAACTGGTTCAAAGCTGCCAAGACACTGGCTTGACCTTTAGTGACCTGGAAATCTATTACAATGAAGAAATAAAAAACACTTCCAGAATATTTAAGTAATCATTAATGAGATCATACTAAGAAACTATGGGAAGTTACATGTTACATAATAGAGCTACTGCACGTGTACACTACGTCAGAGATGTGTCAAATGATTTTAACCAATGAAATAACTCATTCCAACCCCCAATATGTTTTGAACTGTATGTAGAGGAATTCTCCATCTTTTAAAGTTGCTTCTCTTTTGGCTGAGTGGCCAGTGAGGTGCCTTTCCAGCTTGGAGTCTGTTTGGGCAAGGCACACTTGGATCTGCCAATGTTTAAGGCTAACAAGGCAGTGGTGAAATCCAAATTTTTTTACTACTGGTTCTGTGGGCGTGGCTTGGTGGGCATGGCAGAGGAAGGATACTGCAAAATCTCCATTCCCACCTTCTAGGGGAAGGATACTGCAAAATCTCCATTCCCTCCCCACTCCAGGGGAAGGATACTGCAAAATCCCCTTTCCCTCCCCACTCCTGGGGGAAGGATATTGCAAAATCTCCATTCCCACCCCACTCTGGGGCCAGCCAGAGATGGTATTTGCCGGTTCTCCAAACTACTCAAGATTTTTGCTACCGGTTCTCCGAACTGCTCAAAATTTCTGCTACCGGTTCTCCAGTACCTGTTACATTTCACCCCTGTAACAAGGTGCTGTTGTCTTTCTTTTGACAGACCCCTGCATCCGACCCAAGTCTCATGAACCCTTTGTTCTTGAAGTGGCTCAGAGAACATTCTCTGCAGCTTCTGAAAAGTCCCCAAAAGTACACCACGTTGTTATGGAAATTTCAGAGGTTGCATGAGAACATACCTCTCTCATGTTACTTCCAGAGGCCACATGACAGCAGGCCTCTGACCCTCTGAAATTTGCACAAGAAGGGGGCGTGCTTTCAAGAATAGTTGTTGTCAGTTGATAGTGAATGCTATGTGTCACCCAAAATGTTGTGGTTTATTACCTTTGACATACATCACTAACTGAGAGCCATTTTAGGGAGGAGTTGCAGAATTTGTTTTGAAGAAGGGCCACACTACGCTTTTGGGTGCTAGCCTGGAGAAAGCAGTGCAATAAATAGTGGATGTGACCATGGGGAAAAAAATTACATCAGGCGACATTGCATTATGTTTCATGTAGAACGTAAATATATACTGCTCAAAAAAATAAAGGGAACACAAGCAGAAGACATCCGAGATCTGAATGAATGAAATAGCCTTATTAAATACTTTGTTCTTTACATACAGTAGTTTATACACTGCTCAAACAACTAAAGGGAACACAAAACTACTGTATGTAACGAACAAAGTATTTAATAAGGCTATTTCATTCATTCAGATCTCAGATGTCTTCTGCTTGTGTTCCCTTTATTTTTTTGAGCAGTGCATTTATTTTATATGAATATAGTTCAAATAGAGCCTAGCAGATATTTGAAGGGATATCTGTGTAAACCGTATTTTTGTATACCTCTACAAAGTAAAAAGCAATCCACATCAGTTTGGCAGGGCAGAGAAGTTGCATTACTTCACTCAGCAAAGTAACTTCTGCACATATACAGCTTATATGTTGGTGCTGGTATTCCCAAAGTGGATCAACCAAGCTGAAGCAAAGTGACATGCTTTTGTAAGGTCCTTTCCCACACTGGGACAACATTATACATTATTATAAGCTAAGGTTCTCCTTCAGGCAGATTACAGATCTGCACACCCACAAATAAAATTATGATTATAAGCACAGTTTCAATATTTTCTCTATTCTAACAAGTCAAACATGATTGTTTAAAAAACAGAAATGGCAGGTAGTATTTAGAGAGATTTGAGCCAGGGCAAAGGTAGAAATCTTTGGTAGCCTGAGGCTGCATTTAATATTTTGTGTTAGCCTGCAAGTCACAGTTAATGCAATTATACAAACAGGGTGAATGATGATTATGTGCCATCAAGTCTATTATAGGACTTGCACTATAAGTTTCCTGTTTTGAAATGATGACAGATTATGTCACAAATTCTCAGAGATAATGGCCTGAGGCAACTCTGGTAGTTGCAAAAAGAGCCCTTAGGGTCCATAGGTAGCCGGAAGCTGCAGGTGACCCATTTCTGTTGCAGGTGATAAAAAAAACACAGATATAATCTATTTAATACAGCTTTTCCCTCATCCATTGCTGTTTAATTTAGTTTGTTTTTATTCCATGCTTTCTGCAAGATTTCTCAGACAAGTAAAGCCTAGAGTACCTCTGGTCCTGTTTTTCTGAGAGAAGTCCTAAAATCTCACTAATTTTTCATTTCCTATTCAAAAGGGAATAATCAAGCTGAATTATTAGTAAGATGTAATTGCTAGGTTAAAACCAGCAAAACAGCAACAATACAAAAAGTCTAAACAGACAATTAATAAATGAACAAAGCAGCATCAGCATCTAGCAAAAATGTTTCCAACAGGGGGGCTGTCCTTTTTGAGGCAGCTCATCCTGCATGGAATGGAACAATGCTTTTTAACAATAATTGCTGCTTAGCAGGCAGGACAAAGCCACTGTGGTGGCCAAACCTGCTAAAAATACCAGCAGCTTGGTCTTTCTGCTTTAGTTGGGTTCAGTAGAACAGCAACATCTGTCTACTGCTGGTGATGGTATTATCCAAGCTCCTGAACACCAAGCATTTTCAATTTTAGAAGAGAATATATGCATTTTTGGATTGAAGTGTAGAGTCCAAGCTCTCTGAGTTTGGTTGTTTGCTTGCAGACATTTCATTATCTGACAAGGTTATATTATTTAGTCAGGTAATGAAACATCTGCAAGCAAGCAACCAAGCTCGGAGAGCAATTTCTCATTTCCCCCCAATTCTATAGAAAGTATTCAGTGCCTCTTTGTTCATTTTTTTAATGTATACACATTTGTTTCTGTGCTCGCTTTATTTTGGTGTTGATGGAAATCTAGGGCAAAGAATACAATTATCTCCAAGGATGAAGGTAAATTTTGCTTTGAAACAATTTCATGGGCCTTGTCATGAAAAAACTTGCATACTTTTGTCATCTTTTAGTAGCCATATACTGTGTGGTACAAAAAAAGCAGTAGTCAGAATGACCTAACAGAATTCTAGCAGTGGAATGATATCATGGCTCAGTAGCAGAAAACTCCTTTGTTCTTTAGCATCTTCCAAAGAGACTTGGAACAGACTGTCTGAAACCTTGTGGAGCTGCTCTTTAGCAGAACAGATTCTCTTTGGCTAGATAGATCTCCAAGGCACCATTCTGTATCCTACCTATTGTACACTACAATAGGTAGATTCTAAAGTGTAATTAGTAGGTTGATCATTACCTTTTCTATTCCGCTTTGCAACTTTCTGTCTTAAAAGAGCCTTGGTAGGAGCCTTGGTAGTACAGTGGTTTAAAGCACCCTGTTATTAACACAGCTGCCTGCAATTATGGCAGGTTCGAATCTTACCAGGCTCAAGGTTGACTCAGCCTTCCATCCTTTCTAAAGTAGATTAAATGAGGACCCAGTTTGTGGGGGCAATAAGCTGACTTTGTATAAATATACAAAAGTATGAAGGCTATTGCTTAATGCATTGTAAGCCACCCTGAGTCTCCGGAGAAGGGAGGCATATAAATCAAATTAAAAAAAAAAAAATCCAGTCCTAGTACAACAGAATATATTAAAGGCCATTTTAAAAAACTGGTTTTAAATATCCATTAATCAGAAGTTTAGCTGTATGGGTGGATAAATATGCATGCATGAACTAGTATATATATATATATATATATATATATAAGCTTTAAGTATCTCTGTCAGCAGAGTGCATTGAGGGTTGTGGCAATGCATGAGGGAACCTTTCACAAAGCCAGATTCTCCATCTGGGGTTTGTTTTCGTTTTGTTCCAGCACTCAAAAAGGAACCCGTCTAGGCCTCCTGCCACTGAGACGAAGCCGTTAAACGGGGCAGAGTTTAAAGGGGCAAGCAGCTCTTTCCCTGCTCTATGATATGCCAGCCAGCGGGTGACGCAAGGGCTGGAGACTCCAGCTCAACGCCCAAGGTGCACCTGCGTAAAAGGCGCTAGCGGCGGAGGCACAGCCGTAAGATTACTACCCAAGCAGCCGTCTCTTCTCCAGGCAGCCGCCCAGTCTTCCCAGAGCGGCTCCTGCGGTAGCTGCTAGCAGTCACACGAACGCACGCCCCGGCGGCCGCCCTTGCCGCCGCCTTCTTTCCTCTCTTCTTTTCCCTCCCCACCACCCCGCATCCTCCAGTTTTGACTGCTGAGCTAATCCGCCCTGCGACCTAGCTAGAATGTCGTCGCCGCCGCCGGATCTCCAGAGCTCCGAGGAGCATCGGGCTGGGGACGGGGCGGAAGATGAGAGTACAGCCGGAGCGTCTCCGAGGCGCTGGGAAGGCGAAGGGGCGCAGGCACCGGCAGCGGCATTCAGAGCCGCCGAGCAACCTCCGCCCGTTGCCATGGCAACTGCATCCACAGGTAAAAGGCGAGGTACCGAAAGATGCTAAACAAAGGGCTGCACGTATCCTGCGCCTATTTCGAACGCTAAGGGCGGCGCAGAATAGGAGCCTCGGAAAGAGATGGAGAGGAAATTTGGTTTCCTTCCAAAGTTCCATACCACTCCTTCAAATTCATAATCATGCATTTTAGCCTTTAATACATATTCTCAGTGCATTTTGAGGGGTAATGTTTTACTTGGAAACATTAACATTCTCTCAGTTGTCTGCTTTTGTGTGTTCTGTGAATGGATAGAAGTCATTTCTGAGACATCAATGTGTAATTTATGTTTTATTTAAATCTAGTTTAAATGTGAGCTTTATTTGAGAGAATTGGCTTGTACTGAGTGGGATACATTTTGTTCCCCTGGTATATGGCTACTTTCCCTTTGCTCAAATGATTTTTATGTGTATTTCTTTTCTCTTTGACATGGTTGACTGTGTGTGCTGGATTTCTATAGACTGCAAATAGACTGTTGGTCTCTACTTCTATTCTGGACTTTGCAGATGGCCCTCCTCCAAGTCTGAAATTTAAAATTTAAAGATTTGCTGTACATTTTTCATAGTAACAGAGTTGTCTTTAACCAAAAGATTTTTTGAGCCTTAAACGTTTGTTCTGTTTTTAATTTTCACCTGCCAAGAAATGATTTTATGTCCTTATGCAATCTTGCAGTACTGAACTTGTGTGAAGCAAGTTGAGGAGTGGGAGTGGCTGGGAGAAATGATGGGACCCAGTCAGGCAATGCAATATCCATTCACTACCTTGGGAGCTACATTGATGGGCTGAGTTTTCCTCCCACTGACCTCATTCTGCAAAGAATTCTTAACCGTGATGGAAATACACAACTAGCTATGCTGTGATGAGCTTCTACACATTGGGGAAGAAGCCCACAATATGGTTTTATAAAAAATGATTTTCCCTTTTCATCCACTCTTTGTGCTTATTTTGAATATAATAGTGTAGTAAAACCTATGCACTGATGTGGAGACATGTTCAACTGTTGGATGAGATGAATGGCCATGTAAGAGGCTAAATTAATTTGCTTTGAGTACAGATTTCTTTTTTTAAAAAATATGTTGTTTGGTAGCCTCTAATTAGAAATGAGATTCTGCAATGAAGAGGAAGGAGAGGTGACAAGTATATTAAAGAGAAAAGAGAGCTTTAGATGGATTTCATGGAAGGCTAATTGCTAGAGGGCTGGGAATGGAAAGGTCAGAGAAAAAAGCTCCCTTGCATCAGGAAACCTGACACTATCAAAGCCTACAAGCTCATAGAAACCAGGGGAGGTGGTTTTGTAATCTCAGCCTCAATTTCTATCTTTTTTAAATTTTGTTAATGCATTAAAATGTTAGAAGGTCTTGCAGTACTTTAAAGACTAATAAATGTGTTTTTGGCACAAGGCTCTTTGCTATTTGTGCTGCAACAGATTAACACAACTACCTTTCATCCCAAAATGATTGCTTTCATCCCTCTGATTAAAACTTTCTAAAGGGATTCTAAGGAAAGCACTTAAAAGAGACTTATCTTTCAGTTCTTTTGGACATTGCTTCTTCAAAGCAATTTGTTTAGAAAATTCTTTATTATATATGAACTAAATCTAAAAACTGGAGATACAGAAGCAATCATTTAATTGCTTCTATTTAAATCAGTGTCTTTTTTAAAAAGTCTACCACAGCATCATAATTTGTTGGTGGTATTTCTCTCTTACTTAGCCATATGGTTGTATGTTTACAGAATAAGAAGGTTGAGATGTTATTTATTGCTGTGATTTCTAGGCCTATATCATTTAAAGCATGCATTCCAATTTCTCTAAGTACCATCAAAATGTATCAATACTTGCTTGCATTTGGAAGAACATAATAAACCAATTTGTTCCATACCCAAATGTAATATTAATGCATAGAATAGAACTATAATTTCTAATATCAGTCCAGAACCCATTGGAGTTGCACAGACAATAAATTTAAATAAATGCTTTTTGTCTCTGGAGAAATGTTCATCTTTGTAAACAAACTTTTTTAAAAACTGCTTTTTGAAAGCATTTCATATGTGAGCTATCTCATGATATGAACCATTTATTGATGTTTGGTATTATAAAATGATAGAAAGGTAATTTCTACCATTTTATAAAATCATATCCTTACATACTTGCATATATACATGACGACATATGTAAGGAGTGATGGTAGTATTCCAAACATTAAACCATTTTTTAAAGTAACGGATGTTGTCTGAGCATAATAGTTTGAAATTATGCCTCAATAAACTGCAGCTCTAGTAAAGTAAATTATTCCATTACAGAGCTGATGATGATTACAATAATTTAGCAATTGTTGCTTAGCATTTTAAGGATCAGAGCTGTATAGCTTTTACAAGCCAGTGTTTATTATTATTGCTTCACATTTACACTGGTTAAGACACTGAGGATTTCGTTGTGGTTCACATTTAAAGCAGAATATAACTTTGCAAAATAAATAATATATGCTGAAAAATTTTTATAGAGCAAATTCAGTAAACATGCAAAACTAAGTTACCAATATACTTTCACTCTTTTGCTTTGACTTTTAAGTTGACTGTAGCATTATAATATGTTTTTCTCACTCTGAAAAGCTCACTGTTAAGAAGTCTGGCTTCAATGTAGTTATCAAAGGATGGGATCAAGGCAAATTCTCTGTCACAATATTTGAGAGCCCTCATCATCAGTTGCAGCTTCATGATGTCCCTTGCTCTTCCCCTTGCCTGTGGGATGTTGCAGAGCCTCTATTGTGCTTATGGAGGACTTATTCTTTTTCATAAATATTTATGAAAAAAGATATCCTTTTTTCATAAATATTCCATGCAGATCTGTATCCCAAGCCCAAAGCACCTAGATTGCATGCAGGAATTTCTAGTTTAAAGGCCCTGGTTAAACTGTTTTTCCCATAGTTGTCCGTATCAACCCTCCAAGAGTTGATGGAATTATCCAAGGGGGTGATAAATGCCTGGGTGTCGAAAGGAGTTCAGTTAGTGGCTGGGCATCAATAGATGTTTAATAGTTGATAAGAAGATTGATTGGGATCAATTAATCTTTGGGGGGGGGGTCACTGTAGATCTCCATTTCAATCCTAGTCTTGAAGATGAAGTGATTAGTGGTAAGACAATGTTGGACGGTCAGTTACATTGAGACTGGTCTTGTTGTTGTTGTTGTTAGGCACACAACAATGTAACAGTTATATGTTATATGTAATACAGTACTTTGATGTTCTTGACAACACTTGGGCGTGTTGTTTTCTAAAATGGACCGCCATACAGATCTTTTAAATGAAATGAATAATTTTCTGAACTGTCCCTTGGAAAAGCCTTTTGTAGGTCTTCATCATTAATAGTAAAATAATTGAAAGTTAGTGACAGTCTATTTGCTTGTATGTCCCATGCTATTATAAGGGAGTATGTTTCCATGCTATGTGTGTTAATGTACCCCATAATAAAATTGCCTTTCAGGGGCTCTTGTAGAGCAGGCATCACCACACAAATGTGTGACTTGATTTATGGGATTGGTGCACTGTTCTTAAATTTTAATCAAAACTCTAAGAAACGTTGAGGAGTTGACATCTATTCCTTACATATGCTGTAGCTGTTACAGAATTAATAAAAATTGCATTTGCCTAATAAAACATAAAAATGTAGCAGAAAATGGCACATCCCTGCTCCTAAAAGATATCTGATCCCTTTTTTTTAGAAAATGGAAATTTCAAGCATAGATTCATCTTCTCTCTCCTTCTACCCTCCTCCCACCACAGTGAGCATTTATTTATTTGAAATGAGACACAAAAATAATAAAAAATAGTGTCAGATTGTTCATGCAATTTCCAGAGATTCTTTGCAAGCCATACAGAGATAATTTTCTCTGTGTCATGCTACCTATTATACCATCTGCACTTCAACATTCTTATTTACTTATTTTATTCAGAGATGAAATTTTTTAAAGAAACACAATATTTGTATACATGTGCTTTGTTTTTGGGAAAACTGATTTTTTAAAGTACATTTATATAAGCTGTTAACTTGTATAAATTCTAATAGTGAATTCTTACACGATACTGAATCAAAATACGCTTTGCTTTGGGTGGTTTAATTTATTCTATGAACTCAGCCATTGTGCGTTGAAAATGTAAATATCATTCCTTTTGACCAAGGGATTGGGTATATACTGTAGCACCAATTAAGCCGTAGGCATTTGTTTGTCAGCCTAATGTCTAAACAACATGTTTGTGGGAACTTAGATAGGCATTCTGCAATTAGCAGGAACCAGCATGAGTTTGTTGCAGACAAAATATAGCAGCCTAACACTTCCTCTTTCACAATATTATTAGCTTAGTAGATCAGGGAATGCAATAAACATAATGCATCTGGATCTCAGAAAAGCCTTCAATAGAGAGCCTCTATTTATAGAATGATTAAAATATATGTTGGATGATGTCATTTTAAATGGCCTCACAGTTAGCTGATGGATCCCGCCCACAAATTGCTCTGAATGGCTCCACTTCAACTTGGATAGAAGTATTGAGTGGAATGTCACAGGCTCTGTCATAGGTCCTGGGTGGCTCAACATTTTTGTCAGTTACCTGAATGAGGGAGATGAAGAGACACTTGCAAATTTTGCAAATGATACTAAGGTAGGAGGCATGACTAATACTGTAGATAAAAAAAGATTTGAAAAGATTTAGACAAGTCAGTAGTGGCTGCAAGGAATAGGATTGAATTTAATAGGAAGACATGTAAAGTTCTTCATTAGGATAAGGAAATTTAAAGCACATTTATAGGATAGGAAAAGGTTGGGTTGGCAGGGGTACTTGGTTACCTTATTTAAATATTGGAGCATGAGTTAACAATGTGATGCATCTGCTAAAAAGAAACACAGTTTCCATGAAGTACCAGTAGTTATTTTGCTCTACTCTGATCTGGTTAGGCCTGAGGATTGTGTCCAGTTCTGTGTACTAAAG